GCAACAGGAAGAGGGAAACAAGAAGGCAGCACGTAGATTCGGACCCCTAAGGAAGTTCCCTGAAGTTACTACCCTACAAAAAGTAACACTTTTGCTTACCCACTTAGCCAGGATTTAGTCACATAGCTCTTAGGAAAGCTGGGAAATGTAGTCTTTATCCTGAAAGAGCGGCTGAGCCACTAAAAATTGTTATTAGGGGGCAACTAGCTATTCCTGCCACAGATTATCCCTTCGACCTATGCAAACGCACGCTTCTTACCACAGAGTAGTATATTCACCCTTCCCCAAGGGAGACACCCCAAATACCCATCCCCTTACTGCAGTGAGCTAAAAGCCCAAGACATCTGGGTCTACAGTTCTCCTTCTCAAGAACAAATGTTATTTTTTCACTGTCCAGCAAACAAAAGATGCTATCTGCTCCAATACACCCATTGTAAAACGGAGGTGCAGGAACAGAATCACAATTCAAAAATGGAACAAAATGGAAATTACATATTGTCATTGAGTATCAAATACCACTCGGCGGGAATCTCAAGGTCTCCCTACGCTGGCCGTAGAATTTGTTCTTTGGTTAGCCCATGGGGCAGCCCCTGATTCTGCTCTTTGGGGAGAACCCCTTCTCCATTCTTCCCAGGGAAGTTCTTCATTTTCCATCATCCTTCCGGGCTACAACTGGAGCTGCACAGCATAGCTTCCAAAGCTCACACACAGCAGCTTGCCTAGAAGGGTACCTGTCTACACCTGTTATCAATGTAATTATTAAAGCTTCCCTTTCTCTCTAAAAAGGACTCTACTTTGGATAATAATCTTCATTCCTGAACTCAGTTGACAAGGAACTGAATTGTGCCAACCACATGAGCTTGGAAGAGGACCCCAAGTTTCTGATGAGATTGCTGCCCCAGACATCACCTTTAGTTTAGGCAGGTGGGACCCAGAACAGAGGACCCAGCTAATCTGTACCTGGACTCCTGACCCATGGAAACTGAGATAATGAACTTGCACTATTTTTAGATGTTAACTTTGTGATAATGAATTACACAGCAATAGAAAACTAATACACCTTCTCAAACAATGGGATTGGGTGGGAAGGCAATACCCTTACTTTTATCTGCCTTCAACCTTGCCTGGTTGATGTCATCACTTTGGACCTGCAATCCATAAATTACCAGTGAGAGAATGAATGATCCTGACAATCAGGTTCGGTGGACTTGGGAACATTTTTGGATCGGTAATTAGTGGATGGCAATCCTTGCAAGATTTGATACTGTAAGAAATTTAACTGGGCTTGGCTCTACACGTATCTCAGAAGTGGGAGGAGGGATTAAGTACAGCTGTCTTAATCTTCCTTCTGTCTTCCATCTCAGCTTGTAGAGGAGCTATCTTCAGCCCTAGGGCACAGGTCACCATTCAGAATCTTCCTTGTCATCTTGCCTGTTATTAAAGCCATGCCATTCTACTTCCCGAGGTATTCAGAGACAAGCATTTCTATTTTTTGTCATGGCCCAGCAAGGGTCACCAGCTTTCCAGCCTGCAATATCTGTGCCCTATGGAATCTCCCTAGCCAGTGGATCAATACTCCCTTCCTCTAGGGAGTTATTTCTGATTGTCACAGGATTGGGAGATGTCAGTGGCATTTGGTGCCGGTAGGCAGAGGTGATAACTGCACCACAGAGTGTAATATGAACATTGTACTGTATTCACATGTCAGTAGAAGCCCTGTTGATATACTCTGCCTCTAGCCAATGCCATGTGTTAGGATGCCAGTTCTGGTACCAAATTCTGTGTAGGATGAGAAGCAGAAGTGATTAAAAAAAAAAAAAAAAAAAAGCCTCAAACAGAAAACAGCAGTGGCTTAAACAAGTTCCTTTCTCAACAAGTCCAATTAGGCAGACCAAGACCGGTAAGGCTCTCTCCATGTCAGGGACTCAGACTTCAGAGCATCTGCTTTTCAACATTCTATTGGACTCTTACTGTGTTGTAGGTACTCATTAGACATTAGGAAAAGTAACCATTTGCCAAATATGTTTTTTCCTGTGGGTAGTTTGTCTTTTGACTTTGCTTAGAGCATTTTAAACTTACAGAAAAATCTTAATTTTTATGAAGTCCAATACATTTTTATTTGATGGATTCTGAAGGTTTTCTTAGAAAAGTCTAATACTCTATTCTGAAATTATTTAGAAATTGTTACCATGATTTATTCAAGAACTTTCATGATAGTTTACACCAATAAAACTTTGATCCGATTTTAACTTGGTGTTAACTTGTGGGGGAACAGATCCAATTTAACTCTTTTTCCAGCTAGCCACCCTGCTGTCCCAACACCATTTATAGAGTTAATTCATCTTTACCCCCCTTATTTGAGATGCTGCCTTCAAAATCAGGACTGGGTATAAAATTTTATAAAATATTTTACTGAAAGGATTATGTGTGTTCTCTCCTTTAATATGTTACTGTAGTGAGCTACATTGCTAAATTTGCTAACAAGGAACACGCATTGCATTCCAGTGACAAATCCTACTTGGTCACAATGTAGTATACTTTATTATTGTATTAAGGAATTTTGCCTTTAACTTTACAGGGAAACAGGGAAATTTCATCAACAGTTTTCTTTTTCGGTTCTTTTTTATTTAAGGTTATGCCAGGCTCATAAAATAGATGTCCATCTATTTGTATAACATTGAAATAATCTGAATATGGAAAGTTTGATAAAATTCACTATACAACAATACTGATCCAATGACTTTAAAAAGAGGTATTAGTAAACTTCTTATTCAACTTATTGTATGGTTATGACCTTTGACATTTTATTACCTTCAAACTGAGTCCTTTCATAAAGTCCCAAATGTGTCAATGTAAGTTGTATAATATTTTAAATGACAAAAAAAAGGGTTATGCTGTAATGAACACCTATATACCTACCACCCAGTTTAGGAAACAACTCTTACAGACACAACTGAATCCCTCTATACTGTTCCCCAGCCCCACTCCCCTATGTTCCTCCCAACACATATACTATCCTGCTTTAGCTTTTTACTGTATACACTTGCTGTACATAAAACAATACACACACACATATATGTAGTTTCAGAGGTTTTCAACTTACACTCAAAACTGTACTTACCTTTTTGCAACTTGCTTTCTTCTCTCAATATTTATAATCTGTTGTATATGATAAGCTCTGGCTAATAAGTTTTTAAAAGCTGTATGCTACCTCATTAACAATCCATGGTATCTGTATTCATTCTTTGTTACTGGATATTTAGACTGGTGTAAGATTTTGCCAATGCAAGTCTCTGCCATTTCCTTTTTCTTTCTCCTTCGTAAAGGGGCCCCAAAGGGGAAAGCGGTGCGAGCAGGATTTTCTTTTCTTTAAATTTTGCCTTTTCCTCATTTGAGATACTTTCAGTGTCCTGAACACTGATCTGTATTTTCTTGTGCAGTCTAAAAGAACTAAAGTCTTAGTGTTTACTATACTTAAGAGACCTGTAGCTCCTTGATATTCCTCTTTAGCGTTCTTTTGGGAAACAAGGAGCAAGGCCTCAATTTCAGGAAGAAATCTGGAAGAGATCTGCATCAGTGTTCAGATTCTACTAAGTTAGCAGCACAAAACTTGAAGTCAAGGAGGAAGGCAGTGATTTTTGTGGTTTAGTCAAGAAGACTTTAAGGGGTATCTTTTAGTAAGAGAACTCCTTGGATATTTATTTGGTTTAAGAGCTGGGCATTCTACAAATTTCCTGAAGAAATCATCTTCTAAGACATACCAACCAACTTTGTTTCCTTAACAGTCTTCTATTAATCAGATAGCTTTAAGTTCATGTAGTGAAGATGTTATTAGAATGAAAGGCTGGTTTGACATCTGTGACACATGTGCTCTCTAGTCAGTTTGCGACAATGTTAGTTCTCCGATAGTCACACTACAAAAAAAAAAATGAACATCGAGTTTTTAACACTACATGTTACAACTAACATTAAACTAACTAGTACAATTTTCTTAGATTATACCAAAACTAGAGATAAAAATGCTTTAGTATCTTATTAGTCATACTCCAGTTTTATAAGAACACATTTAAAATTTTACCCTTTGTGTTGACTTCATTTTGTACTGTGAAATGTATAAAGAAAGAAACAAAGTCAGATTTCGTTTTCAACTGGGTAACGCTATTTGACCTATGACATACCAGAGAGGGTGATATGCTGTTATCTGTATTTTGATGCTTCGATGAAATACAAGAGGATTTCCTGCCTACCAGTTACATGCATACTTAAAAAAAAAAAGTGTGAAGTACAGTTTAAACTCGTCCTTTCCAGGAGAACTTCCTTGGCCTGACATCCCTTTAGAAGGATGTCTTACCTTTAACTTACCTTTGGTAAGTTAGGCTTGAAGTGCATCTTGTAAACAACCTTAAAGTATTTTACACACCTTCCTAAATAGGTTCAAGGTGTATGAAGATTCTGATCCCCTCAACCCTTAGGACAGCTGGCAAGCAGACTCATCTGTTTCTCCCAGACTGTCTTAAAATTACCACCATTTTTCCATACAGGTTATGATGTGAAAAAATTAGAAAACACTGCTATAGTACCATGACTACCCTGTAGACTCCTTTAAGAAACAATTTTATATTCTCCTGACTCTACGATGCCTAGAACAGTCCTCTGAACACTGATTAATCTTGAATGACCTGACATTAATTTCTAATACCAATTAGGCCTTAAAAGTTTAACTGGTTATTTTAATTAGTGAATATTTTGCATATTCTCTAATAGCTAGCATTACTAGCCAGTCCTACAATAAAGCTTTTGCATAATATGCAGAAAGTGAAATTTGAAGATGCCTATACAAAGAGCCTTGTTAAAAAGTTTCAGTTTCAGGCCCAAAACACTACAACTTAGGAATACCATGTACATTGTGATTCTGCTTTTAAATAATCTTCTGTAAAGAAGTGAACAGAAATACACCCTCTTCTTAGGAAATTTAATAACATACATGCATTACCAAACTCCTGTGTTTGGCAAAATATGCCTTTATATTTTATAACCACTAGTTGGCAAAAGCGTAAACTGATGATCAGTATGGAAGATATTTTCAAAGGATCTTGCATTATCCCGAAGTTTCTGGTGTGATTAAAAGTCAAAAATGATTTTAATCACAAAAAGGGCCACCCCAATGCTGGAGAATTATCTGTAATTGTCCTTAATTATTTTCCTAAGAATTTCACTTTCCAAGAACATTCCTAAAGGAAGTGCTTTTTTTTTTGGCCGTGCTGAACAGCATGCAGGATCTTAATTCCCAGACCAGGGATCGAACCCATGCCCCCTGCAGTGGAATCTTGGAGTCTTAACCACTGCACCACCAGGGAAGTCCATCCCAGAACATTTTTAATGAACCAGAACTTCCAGGATACCATTTTAATGCTCCTGTCCCCATTTTAGTTTCCAAAATCCCAAATGAGGAAAAACCTCATAAATATCTGTCAAATGTATCACGTCAGAACATTTACTTCTATCGTAATTCTTGACTGCAACATCCACAGCAAGCCCGGGCTTCATGGTTCCTTAACTCCTCTCCTCTCCTACTCAGCCAGTCACCCCCTTGATCATACTTGTCATGACAGATAAGTCTAACTCCTCAAATTCTCAATTTTAAGCATATCACTCTAACCCCTACCTCCTACATTTCCAGGTCATTCCTTCTAAACATACCTATAATACATTGATGGTGCCACATTTTCACTATCCCTCCTCTCCTCTCATGTCCGCACTTCCCCGCTTACCTAGCTGAAATTTCCAGGTTATCATTAAAACCCTGCCCCTCTTCATGGGGGCAGTCAGACTCACTTGGTAAAACCACAACCTTGGTTAAATCCAATTCACCTACTCTGTGCCTGCACTCATGCAGTGTTACATGGCTGAAGAAAAACATTCAGTCATACTTAGTGGTCTCATTAGATTATCACTAACTTTGAGTAGTCCTTCATTTTGCCTGGCTATCAAAGTATGTTTCCCAGGTCTGTTTGCTCTCCCATTCTTCTGGTCCAGAGCACTCCTCTACCTCCTATCTCCAGTATCTAACTGCTACATGATATTTCCCCCTTGAAAACCAAGTTCCCAGGCCTCCCCAACCCTGAATCTTCCCCAATTTCTCAACCCCCAAATGTCCTTGACATCCCTCACATTCCACAACCAACCCTGGCAAATACACTTGCTTTTATCTTTAACATATATCCAGATATCACTACCTCTACAGCCTACAGCTACCACCACAGGCCAAGCCAGCTTTCTCTCTCCACCAGATTCCTGCAGCAGCCTCCTAATTTTGTTCTAATTTTGCCTTTATCTCCACACTTTGGCCTATTCAACACAGTAGACATTATGACTCCTATTAAAAAGACATCCCTGAGATTTAGGATACTTTGTGTTTCTAATCTTCTTCCACTTTAATAAAATGCTATTCTTAGACTATAGAAGACGAAGTCTATAGCACAACCATTATCTCAGACTGTACTCTAAATTATTTTGATAAGTATGACCTTTTACATGCACATCACCTTAAAAACAATTACATAAGAGAACAAACGTATGGACACCAAGTTGGGGGGGTGGGATGAATTGGGAGATTGTGACTGACATATATACACTAATATGTATAAAATAGATAACTAATAAGAACCTGCTGTATAAAAAAATAATAAAATTAATAATAAAATAAAAACAATTACATATATTTTTACAACAGCATTCTAGGTCATAAAACAGAGCCAAAGTAATTGACCTTCAGGGGATATAATCCCATGATAGCCCAGTTGACACGATTAAGCTAATCAATTAAAGATTCACCTAGTGTTTAGCTCAGAATCATCAGACCTTTGAAAATGTGTTTTAAAAAAGAGAATAATTAACACTGCTAATTCATTTTCTTCCGGAATCTCAATATGACAAAACTTGCATTTTAAAACTAGAAAAAATGATTTAACCAAAAATGTCATAATTTCATATTATATTCTCAATGCTTTCAAAGCCCAACTGTGATTTTTAAAAAGATATTAAACAACATGCTTTCATTGAGAGAATTTTTAAAATCTATACAATTCAAGCTAATGAAATATTTTATTGTACAAAATAAAAGTGGTGTTTTTTAAAAAAACATTTCCAGGCCCAGACATCCACAGGAGTATGTGAGGAAAGGATTCCACTGGAGTATAATAAGCAATACTCAACTGAATGAAACCACAAATCCACCCTCCCTATAGTAAATACTAACATTCACCACAGGCTTGAAATTCCTGTACCATCAGTAAATGTATTTTTCAAAATATTACAAACATGCTTATGATGCATAGGAAGATGGAAAAATTTAGACTTAACTGCACACCACATGTACTCCCAACTTTTCTAATTTACAACCAGTTAAGAATCACAAATATCCAAAGAAAGTATTTTAAAATAGTATATATGATTCACTGGTAAGTGATTTTTATACTCAAATAAATAGTATAAAATGAAATGTTCTCGTTTCATTTTAATGTCACATTGAATTTTAGTACTTTTCAATCCAAGAAAAAAATAAACTGAGACATGGTCATGAGTTCAGGATTATATATATTACAATTTGCCTTGTTATAATATATTTGTGGCTTTATGATAAAAATAACTCAGGGACATATGGAATCCAAGCTAATTTGCATAACTGTCACAAGAAAAAAGCATTAAATGCATTTCTGAAATAAGTATTTTCATTTAATTCAGAATCTCAAAACAGCATTAGACCTTGGTCTTTTTTAAAAAAAGTTTAGTTAAACACTAAGCTAGCTAAATAACCTTCTTGAAAGGTTTAAACACAATTGATATAGAAAATGCTTTCCCTCTAATCTCAATCTTACATAAATGAAAGAGGTAAGGGGGAAAAGGTAGACAATTTCTTTAGCAGCATATATGGCTAAATCCATCAACCACCTTAAACTAGAATGTCCATTATTGACCCCATTAAAAAGAACTGGGCATATATCAAAAGTTACCCACTTCATAAACCAAAAGACAATAATTTTAGGGTTACGGTAAGTAAAATATTTTTGAAACACTTCAAAAAACTTCTGACATTAAACTAGAGGAATCATGTCTTCATTGTAAGAAAGAAAGGCATAAAAGAAAGTAAAAGACATTTAAACTAAACTGATTTTCAATCTTCTTTGAACAAAAGAAATAAAAAATAATGGTTGATTAGCTAAGCTCTGTGCTCTAACCAAACTAATTAATTACAGTGATTTTAAATGGCAACAGCCCATCTGACTGGGTAGCTTGACAGTTCTGAATACTTTTGCAATGATTTTTTTTAAAACGCAAAGACACTAAAATGATCCGGTCATGCAATGTTCATCTTATGCATTCTGCATCTCTTTGCCAATCTTGTAGCTAAGGATCTTGTTCCAATCAATCTTAGTGCGTGTAACTGGCAACTGTCGACGTAAGGCTTTGAAAGTAGTGTCCGACATTGTCTGATAATTCTCACTGATGGCAGTCTATGAAAAACAGTAGTTAAAAGTTTAAAGAAATAAAAGGAACAGAACAATGTATAAAACACACAGATGTTTTAGGAAACATCTTTATTTAAGCAGTCTGTTTCACTGTTTTTAAAAAGCCAAATAAAAACCCCAATATGGTTTTAAAAGCTATTTATAAAAGCAGCTAAAAGAAAAAGCTTATAATCATTTTGAATAATTAAATTTAATAAAATGAAATTATAAATTATATTTACTATCTGTGTGTCCTCATTTTGGATCTATTTTACTATTTCTCTCAGAACAATTTCACAAATTACTGTTTGCAAGGAGTGGAAACGTGTCCAATACACAAATTAAATGCTTAAATTCAAGAGTGCAATTTAAAAGCAGGTAAAGAATGTAAAAGAGTACAAAATGAAATATGATCTAAGGAGACCACATATAATCCAAATGCTTTGGGAAATAGCTCCTAAAGTAGAATTTCCAATCAGAAACAAAATAACCATTTAAAATCTTGGCCTATTTTGACCAATACTCAGAAATCACAGTTAGCTAAAACTGAGTTTTAGCTACATTTTCACAAGTTTGCACTTGAACTAAAACAAACAAAACACACACAAAAAAGACTGTATCTTATTATAGTGAAACAATGAAAAAATTCAGGCTTATGACTGAAATTAAAATTTCAGTGCCATTATTTACAAGCAAATATAGATTATACAATATTTTTGAAAATCATACCTGGTATTCATTTTCTGCAGCCTCTACAATCTTTATAAATTCTTTTGCTGTTTGCACCTCATTCTGAATGAAAAACAAAATCAAAAGTAAATAAAATAGTGATTTAAAACTACACCACTATTACTTTTAAATAGGTATGTCAATAGATGTATGGTTAATGATTTCTTATAATTTAATAAATAACACAGATGGATATTATGACAAAGGGAAAATATTGTAAGATCAATTATCCTAAGTTCAAGGGGAACCAGGCAAAAATGTTTTAAAAGTCTACAGAATGAGCATGGCTTTAGTGTTTCGCTGGTTAAGGAAAGCGAAATCTTAATAGTACATGTTGATGAAAAATTCAATTATAACACTTAACAGCATTTCAAAAATCTTTACGGGTAAGATGTTAGTCACAGATTTCTAGTTAATGACTATATTGCTAAATATTTACTGAACAATATTTACCACCATAATGATACATTTAGAAAATATTACCAATTAGAAAAAGCGTATTTTAAAGTTTAAGGTGCATTTTTTAGTGTTTAAATATTTTCTGGAAAAAATTTTTAAAAAAATTTTTTATATTGGAATTTTATTCCAATATAATGCATTTCTTTGCTTCTTTCCTAACACTAAAAGTTAACAATTGTTGACGTAAAATTATCTAACACCTTACTTTACATATATTATTTATATATATTTACATATGTATTTATATAATGGGTACATTTTTTCTATCCAAAAATAGTAAAACAACAATGAAAATCCTCTAAGATAAAGTGAAAAGGTAATTCCTAAAACACTCAGCACACATTGGTGTATTAGTCAAGTTTAATTACTATGACGAGATCTCACAACTCCAGTCTATAATTTTGTAGACAAATCTCTCTTAGGAAGACTCTTTACTCAATGTCAAACTCCTCAAAGAATACTAAGTATCTTGTTACACAAATAATATTACATATATACTCACGATATAGAACTATACTGAGTGGAGACCAGACATTAGTAATTATCTTTCCTGGCAATTTTGCAAGAAGAATACTACTTAGCAAGAAAGCAGAAATCACCTAAGTGCTAATGAAAACTTGAAAAAAACCAAAAGAAAAAGCAAAAAAAAAAAGAAAAGAAAATCCAAAAATCCCACAGCTTTCATTTCTTTTCAGGTAGCATCTGGCCTAACACACTCACACATGTTTCTTAACATTAAATCAAATGCTTTCTTAAATTAAAAATAAAGTTTTAAAAATATTTGTAAGTTAGCTAATTTTAAATATTAGCAGTTGATGTTTATAATATACTAATGCTTTTAGGTATACAACACATTTGATAAACAAATGTTTATCAGAAATGTCACTGTTAACATATTATAATATCTTTGGGACAAAAAAATTCTGCAGAGAAATAGTTGCATGTTCAATGAAAAGAATGTGTGAAAAGACCCCTGCAGGGAAAAAAAACCAAGTTCAAAATTTCCAGAATTTGAAAGCTGAACTTCAGAAAAACTTCATTAAATCATACTCCAAATAGAGAAAAAAAATACAATAGGGTTTAAAAGTTAAGTACAGGAGCACAGATGTAAATTTAAAAGCTAAAACTATAAAATTCGTAGAAGAAAACTCTGGAGTAAATCTTCACGATCTTGGGTTAAGCTATGGTTTCTATTAATATTCCAAAAGCATAAGTTACAAAAGAAAAAATAAACTGGACCACATCAAAACTGGTGTCTTCTGTTTTGCAAATGATACTACCAAGAAAGTGAAAAGACACACAGAATGGGAGAAAATATTTGTAAATCATATATCTGATACAGGACTTCCATCAGAATACATAAGCAACAATTACAACAACAATAAAAACACAAATCCAATTAAGAAATAGATAAAGGATCTGAAAAGACATTTTTCCAAAGAAGCTATTCAAACGGCCAACAAATACACAAAAAGATGCTCAATATCATTATCCATCAGGAAAATATAAATAAAAATCACAATAAGATGCAATTAACAGGGGCTTCCCTGGTGGCACAGTGGTTAAGAATCCACCTGCCGATGCAGGGGACATGGGTTCAAGCCCTGGTCCAGGAAGATCCCACATGCTGTGGAGCAGCTAAGCCCTTACGCCATAACTACTGAGCCTGCACTCTAGAGCCCACGAGCCACAACTACTGAGCCTGAGTGCCACAACTAGTGAAGCCCATGTGCCTAGAGACCAAGCTCCGAAACAAGAGAAGCCACCGCAATGAGAAGCCTGCACACCACAACGAAGAGTAGTCCCTGCTTGCCGCAACTAGAGAAAGCCGCGCACAGCAACGAAGAACCAAAAATGCAGCCAAAAATAAATTAATTAAAAAAAAAAAGATACAATTAATACCAACTAGGATGGCTATAATAAAAAGGCAGACATAAGCTTTGGTGAGGATGTGGAAAAACTGGAAACCTTATATACAACTGATGGGAATGTAAAAATAGTGCAGCAACTTTGGAAGCAGTCTGGCAGTTCTTCAAAAGGTTAAACAAAGAACTACCATACAACCCAGCAATGCCACTGCTATGTATACATCAAAGAGAAATTAAAACAATGTCTACACAAAAAAACAGTATACACAAAGGTTCACAGCAGCAAAAAGTAGAAAACACAAATGTCCATCAACTAATAAATATATAAATAGAATGTGGTATATGGATTATTATTTGGCTACAAAAAGGAATGAAGTACTGACACATGCTCTAACATGGATGAACCTTGAAAATATTATGCTAGGTGAAAAAAGCCTGTCGCAAAAAATCACATATCGTAGGATTCCATTTATATAAAATGTCCAGAACAGCAAAATCCAGAGTCAGAAAGTAGATTCATGGTTGCCTAGGGCTGAGAGGGGTTTGGGGGAAGGGCTGGTGGGAGGGAACGGGGAACGACTGCTAATGGATACAGGGTTTTTGGAGGATGAAAATGTTCTAAATTACATTGTGGTGACTGTTGTACAACCCTATTAATACTTAAAAAAAAAATTTATACTTTAAATGGGTGAACTGAATGGTATGTGAATTGTATCTCTTTAAATAAAGCTGCTAAAAAAAAAGTTAGGTACCAATTTCCAATTACTTACCATCTTTAATCTATCTGAAAACACTTTAATCTGAAGTAGAAATACTACTTAAAATGTTAATTCCAAAACCGCTCTAGTTGTATAGAAGTATTAGGTTGTTTAAATTTTATTTTGGAATTAATTACTTACAGACACTGTTAGGGAATCTTGTATATCTTTATGACTCACTAGCTGAACATTACCATCTTCATAATAATGAACCTATTAGAAAAAGAAATTACAGAAACCATATTACAGGAGTTATCAAGATCCTCATGGCTTCAACAATCACATCAATGCAGATGACTACCGATTTCAGCTCTAACCTAGTCTTCTCTGCTGAGCTCCTGACCTTAAACTCCAGCGAGCCTCTTCCTGCCCTTAGGCTAGCGAGGAACTAGGTAGCAGTTCCTGCAGTTACTCAGGCAAGCCCTCCATTGACTGGACTGCTGCACATTTCTACCTCATAGATGTTCTACTGGTATCTAAACTCAAGATTTCCAAAATCAAACTCACAGTATTATCTCCCAACACCACTCTTGTTTTGTGTATTTCCACCAACCATTTAATTCCTCAAATTCAAAGACATGAATTTATTCAATAAACATTAACTGAGTGATTACTATATATGACTGCTACTACAGGAAGTTCTAGAGACACAAAGCTTTTAAAAAGACAGCCCCTGACCTCATATTTCAACACAACACAGTAAGAGGTACGTACAAAGTACATTAGCAATACTCCAGACTCTCTCTGAGACATAAAAAAGGACTTCAGAAAAGAGGTAACACTATACTTGGGCTTAGTAAAATGAGTTTAACAAACTAGGGAAGGTGAGGAAACTGAGCTTAGTAGAGAAGAGCATACTTTAGGAAAGGCCTGCAGGCACTTAGGACTGGAATGTGTGCGAGTTTGGGGAGGAGGAGCTGTGGCTGGCAGAATATACAGGTAGGTGACGAGTCAACCCTGGGCCTTCTATGCCACGCAAATATGTCTGGACTATCTAGTAGGTGAGTGTACCACTAAAATGGTCTCAAGTGGCAAGTAACATATCCAGATTTAAATTTTTAAAAATCACCTTTCTTGATGGCAATGTAAAAAAGTGGATTAGGAGATGGCAAAGGGTCCAACCAATCAACAAAATAAAGTAACCATTATAAACCAGGCATCATGCCAAGTGCTTAAGATAGAACCAGCCAATCCTGGCTCTCAACAAGCTTTGGCCCAACAGGGGCACATCTCAGAAATCATCCAGGTGAGAGCTAGAGGCCTAACTGAAGGAAAAAATAATGTCAACAATAATGGCTATGATGTCATACAGCTAATAACTGGCAGAGCTGGGATTCAAACTAAGGCAGTCTGGTTTCAGAATCCATGCTCATAACCTCTGTTTTCTAGCCCTTAAACGATAGCCACACCAAGACATACAAGTAATAGGATAAAAGACTAGAAATAATGTATACTGGAGTCAAATGATAGAGCAGTGCATCTGATTCATTTTTATTCCTTTATGGCTCTTAGCATAATACATTTCATGATAGTTAAGCAACAAATGTATTGAATAAATAAGTGATCCAAGATACAAAGAAATTAGTCAGTATTCTTCTTTAACTTATTTAGTAATATTCATATTTAAATCCTCTTAGTTATCAAATTTCTTCTATAGAAACATTTGAGCTTACACTGAGTCAATTCTAGTGGGTTTCATATAAGAAGCCAAATATGAGTACAGAAGATACTTAAGATATATGTAGTATGTACATGTGTTAACATATATATATACTTATACATCTATACACACACATATATTAATATTATACCTCACTCAACTCCACTCCAATTCAAAAGACAGAACAGCACAACTCAAACTCAGAAGATGCTTGGATGAACAAATTGTATGAAGAGCAGACCAAATGGTAGCATCTAATTTTAGCTGTGTTTTTAGAATCTGTCAGCTATCCTTGCAGATTTCTGATGACTAGGAAATGAACTGCAAGGTTATTTAAAAGATGAAATCAGCACTACTTGTTTTTCCCATTACCTCAAAACAAAGACCTGGAAAAGAAACAGTTATTGAGTACTATGAAAATGTAAACATATGAATTAGCTGCTTCTATGCTCAGAATCATCTAGAGATCAGCAAATTCTTTTTATTTCATACCTGAATTTTCAAGATGCCAACCACCTGAGTGGTTGAAGGAGTGATTGTAAACTTCCACTCTGACCTCCAACGACCATTCCTTAAAAATAAAAACAGCAGCTATAAATAAGGTAGGGAAAATAATTTGAATAAATTTTAAGTTCCAGATTTAAATTTCACACTACAGTATGAGACAGTGTGGGGAATGGATGCTGGACATTCTTTTTTTTAATCCCTGAAATATTCAAAAGAATCAAGAGGTTACGTTCAGTTATGAGCTACATTTAATCTTCATCCTGCTGATAAAAAATGACCTATATAATGGATGCAACCTCAGAACTCTAAAGCTAAGGCTTAAAATACAGTTCAAAACTACATCAGTTTTCTGACTTATGCTTTAATTATGAAAAACTGAATAAATGTTCAGAGTACCAGGGGCTTTCACAAGTTTACCATCCAGTGAATGACACAAAGTCCCATAGTTTTAAAAGAATAGATAGTAATACAACATTCTTAAGGAGATTTTGATATCTGGAAAGAGAAGGGCTTTAAAGGGTTATAAGCATCAGATTTTTTTCCCTTTTCCAATTTTAGACTTAAAGTTTCCACATAAAAGGCACATACATCCTCCTCCTAGATCCCAAAATGATTTTTGGTATAAAATTGATACAGATTAATCGTAAGAAACTGTGACATTACAAACAAGCAACAGGCATGTTATTCATTTTTGTCTCCTAGATAATTAATTTTATCCTAATTTTTTCCTGACAGCCTTTTCATAGCAACTCCTTTTCTTCTGACCTCTATTTGCTCTTTTGCATACTAAAGACATATTCTGATATGTAAACTTATACCTGTTTTTTTTAAAACAGTATATATTTCTAAAACAGTCATAGAGCTAATGGATCACTATACTGGCTTTGCTACAGAATTATTTCTGGGTTCCCTTCAATATTCTTGCAGTCTGCCCAATCACAAAAACCTGCAGAATGATAGCACTCTCATACCTAAAGTTAACACTTATCATTTGAAAAGTACTATTATTAGAACAATGTATATGTTCTACAAAATAAAAGATAATTTTATAACATGTTTTGATTTTGAGTGACTTAGCCAAAATTATCCATTGAAGCTTGACTGGAAAAAGAGCTTAGATCTATTCATTTTTATTTCATGATTCCAAAAGAAGTTATTCCTTTTATTTAGGTATTAACTATCAAGCACTAGTGAGTTCTAAGCATACACATTTCTGATTTATAATGACAACATACATATATCACCACTGATTGTGAAAATTAAAAAAAAAAAGAAAAAAGGAATTCCAAATCAAGTAATCATACCAATTTGAGAACTATTTCAAAAGATCCTTCCAAAGGCATTACTATATAGTAATAGTAAACTGCACTGCATAGACAGTACCCTTTCTTTCATCAATGGAGTAAACAGTCAAGATGTCCTAGCCTTTAATTATATTCTTCCCTTCTCTTCTATTAATGCTTTAATTAGAAATGTGTATTTATTCAACAAACATTTATTAAGCCCTCAATACTGCTAGATGTTAGGGAAACAGCAGAGACCAAGAAAAGAATGTCCCTAGTGAAATCTAAGAAATGATCATGACTAGAATCTTCTGATTTTTATGCTATCTGCATTTGAGGTGAACTGAAGTAATTTCCTTGTACCAAAATATTTAGATTTTACTGAGGTTATTGTGATATGTGATGTCTAGCACTTTGGAATGTCATAAAAAATTATCTTTTACAAAAAGTGGAAGTGATTTTTAGCTTCAATGATATAATGTTCATAGTGGTAGTTTAGAAAAAAAAAATTCAGATATGTGAAGTGAAACAGACTAGAAAATTCAAGGGTATCATTTTCATTTTATATATGCTAACACTCAAACTGTATTTCTGAAAACTAGTAAATTTACTATTTTGTTTTATATATATATATTTATATATTTTAAACTAAAACTTAGTAACGAGTTCAATCCCAACAAAATTGATTTTATTATATATATCCTGGCACAAACAGCACAAATTAATATCAATTTTGTGAAGACTTATTTCTTAGGATACTGGTAAATTAATGCTACAAGTTTTTAGGCCAAAAATGGAGAAACTACATTTATATCAAGGCCATACAAGTAAGTTAATACAACAGAATTTTTAGGAAACTGCAGCTTGTCATTAAGGCCTATGTTTACAAATAGAATTTATTTTCCTTCAGTGATAATGGATCTCTTTCCTCCAAAAGTTCCTGTAACCTGCATTTATTCCTGTGATGGTTAAGTAGTGGAGCAACCTTGGGCCATAGACCAAAGTGGTCCACAGGGTTCCTGATACCTGCTACTCTACCCTTAACAGCACCACCAACCAACTCAGCTAACAAATCAAAGACTAATATGCTTAAAAGGTAAACACTATGACCATACTTACTCTGATGGCCTTAGACTGTATTATCAAAAAGGGAGGATAAAAGTAAAGATTTCATTCAATTCTGAACTTATAAAGTCTTGGAGAGCCACAGAATTTTATAACAGGAGATATCTCAGAAATAGTCTTGTCTAAGAATAAAAAGGCCCAACAACTTGTTAAAGGTCCAGGATTAAGAGTGCAAATCAGTGCTTTGGGGAGCTGGACTTTTACAAGGGATAAGCAAATGATTTGTACAAAAATTTGTAAGGCATGACTGTAATTTGCCTCACTGGACAAAACGTGTCATTACTTCCTCACATTGGCCAACCAAGCACAAAGCAATCCACACGAAAACATCTACTTCAGAGTCACCGAAGTTCACGTACCAAAACGCGATCATTCTTCACTTTGTAAGTACCTCTGCCCTCCTCCCCCATGTAAGTCTCATTCAGGAACAACCCCTTCACAGAATGAGCATATGGGCCTGCCAACTGGTCTGCTCACAGGCACGCATGTTCCCTCAGAATGCTGCTTGCTAGTCTAAAAACACCCAATGCTCTCCCACCTTCTTTTCACTGAGTGTCAATAGATTTACTGCCACCTTTGAAAGATCAGGTTGATTATAGAACAGATATTTTTCTTATATAAAAAGGCTGAAGTTTTATATTATATTGTTCTTAGTCAATCATACAGAAACAAGGTATAGGCCCAATCAATAAAGAACTACAAAGAGAATAAGCAGTATTAAACTTCCCCAATACACAAAATTTTAACTTACCAAAAGTTTTTTGCTTGAAACTGATGGCTTTCTATGCATGCAATAATGGTCTGCTGTCCATCTATTTTTTTACCATATACCTTGTTGGTAAAGAAAATAGACACAAGAGTGAATTTAGGGCCACAGAATATCCAACTTTAAACATCTATAAAATACTGAAAATTGTACAGCATTTTGGCAAGAACATATAAAAGAATACAAAGTAGGTCATCATTCCAATACAGTAGCTAGAAAAACAAATACTTAAATATGTACACCTAATCACAGATTCTTAGTGAATCATAAAATAGCTCACAATTAATGAAGTACAATTTATTGGAAAAAAATAACTGTACTCTCAAAATATGCATAAACATCCCACAATCTCAGGGGTTGCCATTTCTCTAGACATTTAAAATAAAAAAGTATTGAGATAGAAGTGAGAAAGTTAATTTACTTACAACTAAGAAAGTTCACTAAGAGAATGCCTGCAATGGTATGGTGATGTTATTTCACCTCTTGCCAACTGCTTTTAAAAAGTAATGAATAATTTGTCTTTCAATTCCTTGGGAACAAGTAAGGACCCTCTAACTCAACCTCACCACCTTATTCTTGAGGTATTCTTCCAAAATAATCCTAATCAACACGGTTATAATTCAAAGAACCTGTAAGGTATTTTAGGTTATGTTGCTATACTTCTCAAATAATTATTGAGAGCTAGATACTTAAGGCGACCATATGAATTTTTGTCCTAACCAGGAATCTTCTGAGTGAAATGAGGTGGCTATTGGTAATACTAATAATTATGTTGGGACAGCAGGTATAAATCAGGATGTATGGTCATCTTAGGCTGGAGAGGTAGGCAGAGGCCAGGTTCACAGGGCCTTGAAAACCACGTTCAGAAGCCTGGACTCTATCCTAAGTGCAACACGAAATCTTTGAAGAATTTCAAGCAGGAGATTTCATGATCTGATTTGCATTTCAAAAGATCACTGGCTATGAAGAAGATCACAGAAAAACAAACGTGGGGTACTAAAAAGCATAGCTAGGCACAGGCTATGAAAGAAAAAAAAGTACTCCTACTTTCTATCATATTTTATCCTGAAAATAAAAAATAGGTTAAACCTATGAAAGAATCACATTTAAAACCTTAAGAAATTTGATTATAAAACACACGAGGACAAGAGTTCACTTCCAAATAATTTTATTTGTTCTAAGATTTTGTAATTTAATGAAAAGAAGTTTGATGTAAACTTAGGGAGATGAGTCATGAACATGACATTAAAGAATCTCATCATATCATGTTCCTCAAATCAATGTATGAGAATTACTACTTGGATTTAATTCAAGGTACAACCATTTTTCCATTTTTGACTATCATAATACATTTACTATTTAAAGTTTCTTGAAAAAAATAGTAAACATTCTTAGAAATATTTACTTCAAAAAAAGGAATATTAAATTATAAAATGTCCATTCTGTAAGTTACTATAAATTTCAAGATATCACAATATCACTGTCATATTTACATAATACAAAAGAAAAAAGTGCACACTGGATAACTTACAGTGCAGACCCCATTTGGATAATGTTCTTTTACATAAGCTCGCAGAGCAGCTTCTACTGAAGTTCTCCAAGATTCAATTGCATTTTCTGCTTCGTATGGTCTTGGATCAGTTGCTTCCTTTCTTAAGTGATCAAATTTGAAACAGATTCTGTTTTTTGGATCCAAAAACTTTCCATTTCCCAGGTCACCATGTTCTGTAATCAATACCTTCAATGATGCAATGAATTTTGGAAAAAAAAATATTTAAAATAGCATTTAAATACTGATATATTATACATTCACTTGAACTTTTTCCTTAAAACTATAAAAGAATTCTATTCCAAGTAACTGGTTTAACTATATGGCCCAAGTATAATACTTCAAATGAGCAGACTATAAAGACAATGAGGCTGCTCTCATGCAGCTCAGATCAGTGGATCTGATTTTCTCCCAATATAACATCCAGCTACCTGGTGGGGGAAAAAAAATCCATTGTCTAATTACCCTGCTGGAGTCAGGTTTTGTTTTGTTTTTGAGAACTATGGACAGTCTCCAGTTCCTCAAAACTAAGGAACTGGTAATAACCTTCATTGAGAACGGTTACAAGTGAATGTTTTGTTTGCTGTACGCGGGCCTCTCACCACTGTGGCCTCTCCTGTTGTGGAGCACAGGCTCCGGACGCGCAGACCCAGCGGCCATGGCCCATGCGCCCAGCCGCTCCGCGGCACGTGGGATCCTCCCGGTCCGGGGCACGAACCCGTGTCCCCTGCACTGGCAGGCAGACTCCCAACCACTGTGCCACCAGGGAAGCCCCAAGGGTATGTTTTTAATCCACTTAGAATCCTCTTCAGTGTGTCCTACATTACTGCTGGGCCCACAATCTCATCTACTGTTAAGTGCCTGCTGCTTGTTTTTATTAAGATAATCACTGACAGTTGTTTTCAACTGACTTCCAAATTTTAACAAATGTAATTTCTTTGTTTATGTGCATTTAAATTATACACACATAAATTTGACATTCTGTGCTTTCTTTTAAAAAATTTTGCTCTTTTTCCTTCCCATGCGACTCTCCCAATCTTTGACTCTATACCTATGTCAGGACTCCCCCATCCCTTTGATGTAAATTATGCAAACACAGGATGTACCCTTCTGAATTTTTTTCAGTCATGTTATCCTACACAGATAAATACATACACGTCTATATATACATACACACACATCCAGGGGCTTTTATTGGCCACTGTTCTACAAGAATGGAATGAAAATGCACACATATTTTTCTGCATCTGGTTTTTTTCAACATCAATACTTTATAGAAATCCTTCAGAGTCAACTGGTAAACCTCTCATCATTCTTTTTCATGGTTGCATACTATCCCATGATGTGGGTATAACAATTTATTCTGCCATTCCACTACTGTTGGACCATCTCTTTATTTCCAGGCTGTTCTCTTTTTGGGAGGGGGGATAGGCACATTAAAAATGTTAAAGTATTATTGTACATATATTCTAACATACTAATGTTTCTATTTCCACTGGATGCTTCTATTTTTCTTAGATAGATTCTCAGCAGTGAGGACAGTAGGTAAAGGGTTTGTATATTTTTAATTTTTAATACATAATTAGACTGCTTTCCAGAAATGGCTGTGACAATCTACATTTCTGCAAACAATATATGAGATGCTTCCCTTCAAATTATCACCATCAACAGGTATACAGTTCTTTTTTCAGTCTGATGAGTATAAAATATATCTCATTACTTTAATTATATTTCTCTCGCTCACAGGTCTAAATACCTCCAAGTTTGTGGGCCATTTTCTCTTCTGTGAGCAAATATTTTTCATCTGGGTGGGTTTTTTTCTTACTAATTTATAAGAGTCCTTTATTTGAGGTATTTGTTTTATTCTACAGTTAAAATAATTGATATGTAGCAAAATGTCCATCTTTTCTTTTATAGTTTCTGGGTTTCCAGTCTTATTTAAGATGGTTTCCTGTGCCCTTAATTATACATGTAGACTCTTTTCTCCTAAAATTCTAGTCATTTTACAAATTTTTAATCCACCTGAAATTTATTTCTATATATTGTAAGACAGAGGACTGGTTTAACTATATGGCATATGTAGTTGATAGAAACCAGTGGTACCAATAACCTTTATTATATGTCTGTCTAAATTATAACCTTATCATGTATAAAAATATTCATATATTTTGGAACTAAATTCTGGCTTGATACGCTGCTCTATTGATCTATTTGTCTACACAATACCACACTGATTTGACTTTACATTGGTTGTAAAGCACCTTCTGCTATCTAGCAATGCAATTGTCTCTCACCACTCTTACATTTTCTTGTGTTTCTTCAAGCATGTTTTTCATATAAAGTTTATGAAAATTTTGACCAATTAAAAAACTATCAGGATTCTAATCAAACTGCATTAAATTCATATTTTAGTTTTTAAATAATTTAACTTTCTACCTCAAAATGGAATTCAGTGTGCTCTTCCATTTGCTCAGAACCTGTTTTATGTGTTTCAAGATAACCACCATTTTCTTCACAATCCTATGCATTTCTTGTTAAGGTTTATGTTCAGTATTGCCACAATTTAAAATGAAACTCCTCCCCCTCCAACCACGACTAGTGTAAAGTCCCTACTTGCCACAATAGAGGAAAGTTAATGCATTTTGTACACTTACCTTAAATTCAGCCATCTCACAAAATTCTGTTAAGTCTAATAGGTTAATCTGGTTGGGAGGTTAATTTATGGGAGTTTCTCACTATTTCTAAATATATAAACCATGTCACCTAAGAGTTTTCTGTTCTTTTCCAAAGATTTAAGAGTTCTCATTCTCGTCTTATTTGCTATACTTCCATTTATGATAAATAATAATGGTGATAAGTTGACATACCTGGCTAATTTTCTATGTTAACTAAAATTATATTAGTGTTTACAGTTTGATATTTACTACTGTTTTTCGTTAAACAGTATATTATATTTAAGAGGTTTTCTTCCATCCCTATTTTACTTAGGGTTTTTGTAATGAGGATTAGCTGCTGGAGTTTTCAAATCCCTTTTCACTGTCTATTGATGTATCATAAGGTTTTTCTCTTTATTTGTTGATTAAGCAATAAGAGCAATATATTGCCTTACATGGAACCACTCCTGCACTCCTGTAATAAATTCTATTTAGTCTTGGCATATTACTCTTTTGATATATTTCTGGATTCTGTTTGTTAATATCTGTTTAAAGTTTTAAAACCTATAGTCATATGTGAGATTAGTATAGTTTGCTTTTTTTGTTTTATATTTATTAGGTTTAAGTATTAAAATTACAGTAGGTTCATAAAATGAGTTTGAGAGCTATCCGACATTTTAAAGGGATGCATCCCCGGATCCAGCAATTCTTTTAGGGATTTACCTTAACAAAACAATGGTCCATGTGCCCAGAGGTACAATGATATTCAATACAGCACTGTTTATAACAGTTTAAAAAAAAATCAAAAACACAAAATCTCCCAAGGAAAAAAAATTTAAGAGCTTCGTGAAATGAAACACTACATGCCTTTATATGTATGTGTGTGTATACACACATGCATAAATCTACCTACCTACCTACCTACCCACGTTTACTTTTTCCCTTCAGTTATAAGTCATCTTCTGTCTGGTCTCTCTTTTTCCCCTATAACTATGAGACTACATATTACATAATGAATAATGCCAAATGCAAGCTTTAATATAATTTGCCACTGAGAACTAATTGTTACTACTCTCTCTTATGTTTTACCTCCAGTTCCTTCTTCATATTGTTTTATATAAATTGTGCTTCATGTAAGCATTACAGAAACACAATCACTGTTCAATTACTAGTAATTTTAAACCAAAAAATAAAAACTAAGAATGCTAGTGACTTTTGGGGCTTTTCTTTGCTTAGCAATTCCAACTTGTACTTTGTAAAGAAAAGATTTAATAATTACTAAATGCTAAGTTGCTCACATGAAGAACTGTAGAATTCCAGAGCAACTAAATTATGACATAAATCTTACTAATATAAACTCTAGATTTTGGATTAATATAGGATTGATTTTTTTCCTATAAAAAACAAGAAAGTAGATTTAAAGCAATTATCTTCTAAAATCTTAAAATAATTACATTTGAATATTTCTAAAAGGAACTTTCTGCTAATAGCATTATTGGTCTCAACAAAAGAAACTACATTTTCAATTACTTTGCTCCTAAGTGGCTATGATTAAAATGAACGCTTTTTTTTTAAACTTTAAACATACCACTTCACAATTCTTGCAGGATACACTAACCATTATAAATGAAATAAAGAATATCAGATCCTGTGTTTATATGAAACATACCTGATCTTCATAACCTTCAATTTTTACTGGAGTAAACTGGTCCAAGTTATACTGTGCAAATGCACTAAAAAAGAAAAGGGTCAATTATTTAAAATTACGTATTTAATGTTCTTAAAAAAATCACAAACAATTCACTGTCAAATAAAAGTCTCCTGCACTGCACATGGCAAGTTAAATAAAAATGTAATTCTCTACTACTGATCTTATATTAGGTATAAATATTATATAGGTATGGCTTTTTAAAAACCAGTGAATGACATCCAGCTTTCAATGCTTAGCAAAAAAATTAAATCAGTCCTTTCCTTCAAAACCCTGAAAGTAAAGGTTAGCCACTTATAAGACGCATATCCAACTATTCAAGTATATACTAATATTTAGTATACAACATACCGGGAAACAGAGTAGGTGCTGTGAGAGATGCAAAGAGTAATTAGACAGATCAAAGGGCTTACAGTTGAATAGGAGCTATGATAAACATAATCATAACACAAAGCAGAAAGCACCATAAGAGAATGACCAATAAACATCACAGAGAACATATATTTTTAAAAATTACATTCTGTTGAGGCAAGGGTAAGAAGAAAAGAGAATCAGGGGTGATATCATAATGGAAGTGATACTGAGAAATGGCCTTGAAATAATGGGTAGGCTCTCTGGTCTTGCAGAAATTGGAGGGATGAGAAGAGTAATTCAATTAGAGGGACCAAGATGAGCAAAATACAAGAGGAGAAGATAGGTTAAGTCCAACATCATAGAAAGCACCAAGCTCAATGCCTGGCATATAGCAGGTGTTCAGTTATATTTACTGCCTTCAACTGAAAGGCCCTGCATGATGGAAAAATTACTTCATTTGGGAGGCAAAGCAGAATTACAGAAGCTTTTTGAGAAAAGACAACCACGAACTACTTCTGAAGATTAATTTGGCAGCAGTGTATATGACAATTGGGTGATGGAGCAACTAGAGGCAGAAAAGCAGTTGGGCTATCATTAGGCAAACGTCCATGTTAGAACAGCTGAGAGTCTGAACTAGGAAATGGTGACGAGATAGATCCAAGAATAAAGCCTCTCTCTACTTTCATATGAGTAAAGAATAATGTATTACATAACTACATAATACATTTGTAGGAAAAACTCTCATAGCACAAAAAAATTACCTAAAAAATAAAGATCACACTGTATTTTATTAAGTCTATAACCTAGGAAATTTCTTCCACTTACTAGGAAAAATACTGAGAATTTTTAAATTTAGGAGTACATCTCTAAATCTAATCTACTTGGAAGCTTTTCAGATTACTCTGGATGGTAACATGTCCACTGAATTTTTAGGTGTTAGCTACTGAATCTCCTCGAGAGAAGAGATTGAGCAAAGCATTACTGATGAGTTAACAGGAGACTAGTAAATGTAAAAACAGCAAAGTAGGATTAAATTCCTAGCTGTCAAATTCCTGACACTGCATGTCAAAAAAAGATGGGGGTAAATATAGAAACGTATGGAGGGAAAGGGAGATTTTCTTTATTCATTAAAACTGTAATTTTCTTAGGAATAGCCCCAACATACCCAGGCAGTTACTATCCCTTAAATGAATTTATCTCAAAAGTATGTTTGAGATTAAAAAGTATTCTAAATCACTTAGAATTTAGGGTTCCCTTTCCAGTAAAAGACATATTTAAATAATAAATTTAGATAGTAATTTGGTCTTGGGTCCTTTACTGCTCATATCAAACCCCGTTCATCTATAATCTGGGAGTGGGGTAAGAACAGGAAATCTGAAAAGAAGACAATGAATATGAAATAAGTAAAACTGTATCTTAAATGCTCAAAGCAAGTTAAACAGGTGACAATTACGCAGTATGGCAAGTAAGGTACTCATTAACCTAGGAGTCAGATTACAGAATATCTAGGTTTTGTTCGAACCCTGATATTAGCTAGTATGGGCCCCACTTACCATATCCACAAAAAAGACGGGTTTGAACTAGATGACTTCCAAGTCCCTTCTAGTTCAGAAAACTTACTCCATTTACCCACTCATCGTCCATTTACCTACCCCTCTACCCATGCAAATATTTAGGTGTTAAGCACTCTGTTAGACACAGTGAAAACAATAATTTCTCTGCCCTTGTAGAGTTCTGTAGCCCAGTCACCCATTTCTAAGTCACCTGTTCCTGTATTTAGATTTTTTTTATACCCTTTACCATTAGTCATTCACATCTTATACTTTTCACCATGTGTTTCCACATCATCTCTCTTATTTACTATTTGAATTGCTTTCATCATTTAAACTCAGCTCAAAAACCATCTCTAAATAGAAATTTTAAATTTCTTCCTTTGGGCTCCAAAGGTCTTTGATATGCCTCTATATTTTATTTCAGTTGGCCAGAAATTCAACATGTCTGACTCCCCATTGGAAAATCCCTAAGAGGTTTATTTGTCTCATCATCACAGTGAAGTCTGGCATTCATATGTCTGTTGAATAAAAGGCTATTTCTGGATATTTCAAAGTTTTCTAGACTTTAGAGTACCAAGTCTTCAGTATGCCTAATTTTACTATGAAATACACTGAATTTTATGCCCTTCAGTAAAGATGTCCCATTAGAACCACTTTTAAGAATAGCCATGTTCCCTCCCATTACAAAAACATAGGAAGAGGAATTTCTCAAAAAAAAATTTAAAATTAAAAGAGTTAAAGCAACAGGAAAAAGGTGGAAGAATGGAGGAAAAGAAGTACACAGAAGGAGCTGTACTTGTATAAAAGAAATTCAGTATCAAAAAATGCAATTGAAGAAGCAATAGGACTATGGCTATGCACTTACTCTGGTGAAACTGCCACTAGGACACATTTTAAATGTTTTTATAATGCTTTCCAAGCTTATGTTATATAGGTCTAGACAGTCTCAATGACAGGTGATACATTATCTTTTGAGGATGAAACCAGGTTTGGAGGTATTTCAGAAGTAATTCAGAACCAAGTCAAGTGAACAATGGGGGTAACAGCATGTTTGTTTGAAAATTATTTCACAGACAGGACACTGTGAACCAGAGTAATATAATTCTAAAGTCAATCAATGATTTAAGGTGTATTTCTGTACTTCACAGATAACTTCAGATGTCTGCAAAATGAATTTGAACAAAGAGTTTTGAGAAATTCTTCTGTACAAAGACCACTACTGAAGTCAACTAAAAGAATCAATTCTTTCTCTTCTTGTTCATCTAGTTAGCAATCACTTACTGAGACTATAACCACATGCAAGAAAACCTGAAGATTCTACTGAAGGTTTTGATGTTTTTTGAGGTCATACTATAAGCATCTTGTTTTATCATTAGGTACTGATTTCCTCAAAGACTAAAATCTCCTTAAAAGATCAGAATATCAGGCATTTAATGTATATACCTCTTGAAACACGGACCAAGACTGTCCCTGAAATTTGGTTCATAATAAAAGAGAAATTATTCCAATTATTTTAAAAAGAACTCCAATTTATTTAAATGTAACAGTCATCAGATAAATACTCCTTTGGACAAATAAAATTTCAATGCTTTCATCATTTTTTATTCAAATGTGTAACTGTTTCATACCACTTATATAATTATGAACATTTTTCTGACCTTCATTAAACTTTACTCTGCAGGGGAAAAACTCTTCTTTCAACAAACAACTTTGTTACAAAGCAGAAACTAACACACCATTGTAAAGCAATTATACTCCAATAAAGATGTTAACAAACAAAGTTTCTCATTTCCTTAACTTTAAAAAAAATTCACTAATTTTTGCACCTACATGAAACAACCCACACATTTATTTACCACAGAGAACTCAGAGGAAAAGGTTACTTTGAAAGTACTGGGGGCGGGGGGGGGAAGGGGAAGATTGCGGAAGGGTAAAACGCGATCACCTTCCTCCCCACAGATACATCAGAAATACATTTACACGTGGAACACCTCCTACAGAACACCTACTGAACGCTGACAGAAGACCCCAGACCTCCCAAAACGCAAGAAACTCCCCACGTACCTGGGTAGGGCAAAAGAAAAAATAAAAAACAGAGACAAAATAATAGGGACGGGGCTTCCCTGGTGACGCAGTGGTTGAGAATCTGCCAATGCAGGGAACCCGGGTTCGAGCCCTGGTCTGGGAGGATCCTGCGTGCCGCTGAGCAACTAGGCCCGTGAGCTGGCAGCTACTGAGCCTGCGCGTCTGGAGCCTGTGCTCCGCAACAAGAGAGGCGGCGATAGTGAGAGGCCCGCGCACCGTGATGAAGTGAGGCGCCCGCTTGCCGCGGCTGGAGAAAGCCCTCGCACAGAAACAAAGACCCAACACAGCTAATAAACAAACAAACAAACAAATATTAAAAGAATAGGGACGGGACCTGCACCAGTGGGAGGGAGCTGTGAAGGAGGAAAGGTTCCCACACACTAGGACGTCCCTTCGCGGGCAGAGACAGCGGGTGGCGGAGGGGGAAAGCTTCGGAGCCGAGGAGGAGAGCACAGCAACAGGGATGCGGAGGGCAAAGCGGAGAGATTCCCGCACGGAGGATCGGTGCCGACCCGGCACTCACGAGCCCGAGAGCCTTGTCTGCTCACCCGCCGGGGCGGGGGTGGGGGTGGGGGGCTGGCACCTGAGGCTCGGGCTTTGGTCCGCTCGCAGGGAGAGGACTGGCGGCGTGAACACAGCCTGAAGGGGTTAGTGCACCACGGCTGGCCGGGAGGGAGTCCGGCAGAAAGTCTGGACCTGCCGAAGAGGCGAGACACTTTTTCTTCCCTTTTTGTTTCCTGGTGCGCGAGAAGAGGGGATTAAGAGCGCTGCTTAAAGGAGCTCCAGAGACGGGCACGAGCCGCCGCTAACAGCACGGACCCCAGAGTCGGGCATGAGACGCTAAGGCTGCTGCTGCTGCCACGAAGAAGCCTGTGTGCAAGCACAGGTCACTATCCACACTTCCCTTCCGGGGAGCCTGTGCAGCCCGCCACTGCCAGGGTCCCGGGATCCAGGGACAACTTCCCGGGGAGAACGCACGGCACACCTCAGGCTGCTGCAACGTCACGCCGGCCTCTGCCGCCGCAGGTTCGCC